GTTAAAAATGGCGAAAAAAACGAGTTACTTAATCCTTCACTTTAATTCTTCGTTTTCCGTATAGTTTTTACAATTCTTCATTTTCCGTGCATTTTTTAGTTCCAGTATTTTTCCTTTTTTCTTCATTTTCCTCTCCAGCTATCATTTATAGCCATACTGAAATTGTGTCATATGTGGTTCATTGCAGTCACCGACAGACCTTACACTTTTTTTTTCCTTTTCAAACTTGCCATTGCTTTTTTTTTTTTTTTGTTATTTTCTGGCTTCTGAAGTAGTAATTCACGAAAAATTGGCTTTGCATCGATAAAGAACAGTTACTCGGTGGTTAGGTAATAGCTGGCCGTATGTAAAATATTTTGGTACTTTGATAGGCTGTTGCTTTAGTGCCGCTTCCTTCTCGATTGTAATTTTAATTTTAGATGATGTGTGTTCATGTAAAAAGTAAGGGTATGAAAATAAGGGAATAAAAAGGAATGTGAATAAGTTAAATCGGAATAAAAATCTGAATAGGAATGTTTCGGTCCATCAAGTTGCAAACATTTCTGTTCAGTGCTGCAACTGGACCTCGTCAGTGTGACGGTTGCAGCAAAAATAACGCACACCACATTTCTTGATATCTTGGGCTTTTCTCAACCGCTTAGTTTCAGATAGTTGGCTAAGCGGTTCTTAATACTGTATTTTTGGTTAACATTGTGTGAGCACAAGTCATTCATCTGTTTTTTGCCAATTTTTACATTCGTAATCGTTCCATTTTACCTAAAATAAGTAATAAGACCTCTTTTTTGGCACATTTTTATTTCGTAGCTTCTGTGTGCTGCTTATAAGTGAAAGAAAAAGACTTCACGGGCCGTTTGGGCTTATAGAATTTGGAAATGTAGGGGCTGAACCAGTACTGGATGGTTCTAACTAGGACGTGCATAAGTCGACGTAGATCCAAAACCCGTTGAAGTTTATTAAATTGGAAGGGGAGGGAAATGTAATAGGGTGAAGAAAATAGTAGTGTTGAACATGTACCAAAAAACAGTGTGTCATATGAGGAGGAAATGTTAAGTGGTGTATGTGGAAAACAGCTTGCCTGTGTTTCATCCCTAAGCTGTAAACACAGACAGCACGAGACGTGATTAGGAGCGGGAATCATCAGTACAGCCCCGTAACCACCATGTTTGAATGAACTCCAGCATAGTTATTTGAAAAATTACTTGGCCGCACATCGAGTTGTTTCTCCAGGTTTTCTTGTTAATTTTAATAAATCATCTTTAAGGGTGACATACCAAGCCAGGTTGGTGTTCGTGAAGTGCTGGATCAGATGGATACTACCGTGGATGTGAAGCCACCATCTTCGCCAGTACCAAGCAAAAAGGAATATTTTATTGGCAAAACTTTCGTTAATGTTCCACGGGCAAACACCGAAATTGTTGGTTGTATGCGAGATTGTATGAGTGCGTTTTCTTTCATTTTGAAAATAAAAAAAAACTTTTTTTAGAAATTTTGAAAAATTTACTAAAAAAATTCCAGTAAATTACAAATAAGCTGGCGGGCATGGTGCATTGGCATGTAGCTTTAATCTCGTATTGAATACTGAGGTCTTAATTCCGTCATCGAGAAGCCAGCCTTCATCCACGGCACATCCATTCATATCGTGGTAAATTGGTACTTGCGCGTGCTGGAGAGTCAAAACCACCATCAACTTGCTTGTAAGCAACTCTCGAAAGAAGAATTCGTCGATACCCTTGCCAGTGTTTGGGTTAAGTTGGCATTTGTTACCTCTCGGACTACTTTCAAGTGCCTTCGCCTCTCTGAGAGAGATCGGATGTGGAGGAAGCTTTGACTTTTGACAA